CCCGCCACGAAGGCGAGGTTCCAGACCATGTCGAGCACGAGCCCCGCCCGCGAGTAGGCGCAGTCGGCGAAGGCGACGTCGGCGTGGTCGTCGTGGGATCGGTGGTCGGCGCAGTCGGAGAGGAAGAGGCGGCGGCGGTCGGCGGCGATGAGGCGGGCGAAGGGGATAGCGCGCAGCGTGGGGCAGCGGAGCACGGGATTAGAAGCTCCGGCGGTGGTGAGGTGGCGGTGTTGTTGGTCCATGTTAGAGAGAGAAAGGGAAGAGAGAGAAAGTGTGGGTTTTATAAAGAAAAGTTGGAAATGAAGGAGTAAGTGGGGAAGGTAGCGGAAGTGGTGGTGAATGGTGATTCTGGGGAAGGTACTGAAACGACGTCACATCGATATGGCTTTGTTTTGTTGGGGAGTGAGTGTGGTGTGGTGTGGCTACTTTATAATCATAATCATTGGCTTACCTCAATCCTCAACCGCAACAGTTGCTATTGCTAGTGCTCAACCATTCACAACAACTGAACTAACCTAGCCACTCTTGTTGACTTTTTTTTTTAATAGAACTCGAAATTAATTACAGATTAAACATGCCGGTTAGAATTAGGAGTTTACATTTTTTTATATAAAGTTTAATCATTAATTAAAATAATAAGATGAATCTTGAACGGTCAAACATGTACTTTTGTGTGAACAGTTTAATTTATTATTTTTAAATGTAAATATTGTTACATTTAATTTTAAGGTATTATTAACATTTACCGGTTTTGAAACTAATAATTATATTTTTGGAGTTGACATTTATTTAATTCAAACTACAATAAAGACAAAAAGAAATCAGATCCATTGCATCACTCTTTTTTTTCTTTTCGGAAAATTCCAATTCTCATGCCCACAGTTTCCCTCGAGATAGCTTCAGAATGATTATTATTGTTATTTTTATTATTATTAAAAAAAATTGACTATGGGATCTAGGCGTATAAAAAAGACCACCCTTTATAACAACTCTCAAATTGACACATGTCACCTATACAAAAGTTTAGCAATAGATGTGAATTGTACTCTAAAATTTAATGGTTTTCTAATCATTGAGTTTTTAATAAATCAAATACTGTCAATGAAATTGGAGGAAGTATGACATTTATCTCCTTGCCAGGACTCTCAAGTGGACTTCGCTTTGGTACTATCTGTGTACAAAATAACTAGATATTAGATCCACATACTAGCCTAATTTTAGATGGTGAGTTTATAATGAAATAAAGAGAAACAAAAAAGTTACATGAACCTTTTTTGGGTTTGCGAAGTTATTCTCATCTAATGCATTTGCAGATGTTAGCACTGTTTTTGTTGCCTTAGATAGATTTGAACTCTCAATTCCATCAAGTAAAATGTTGAGATTTACTTGATAGTCTCCCACGTTTGCAACCTACACAAGTCAATTACTTTAAGTAGATGATATTTTTTGGATACAAAATTTGATGATATTTCTAGTAAAAACAATTGTAACAGCTTAAATAACAATTTTATAAAATATAGAAAAGTTATTACTAGTGCAAAAAACGCATTCTACAATGCCTTTTTTACATTGAGACAATAACAAATTTGAAATTATGACTAATTATTCTATATCAATTGTTGCTTAAATTATATAGATTATTTCCATAAGTTAGACAACAACCAATGTAGAAATCCCTTTTCGTCTTCTGTTGCTTTGTTTGGTACTCCCTCTCAAGTTTGGTTTCTTTTTCATCTTGCTCAATTTTTTGGTGCCTCATATCTTTATTTATTTATTTATTTTTTACTTTCTTTCTGCGTTTCGTTTGCTTGTTACATGTTAATTGCTTGGTTGTTGTAGTTGATTGTGGGAGTGTTAATTTCTTGGTGTAAATAGTCATATTAAATGTCTCAATGATATTGGCACCGAGATGTTTCTAAAAATGATTTTAAATTAACCATTTGGACACCAAATCACAGTTTGAAGTTAACCATGCATCTATGTTTAATAAAATATAGCCTAAACTAACCTTAAATTAGTCTATACTAAGTTTAATAAAACTTAGCCTACACTAACCTCAATTGACCTATATACTAAGTTTAATAAAACTTGGCCTACACCAACCTTAATTAGCTTATATAAAGTTTAATAAAACAAAACATATACTAAGTTTAATTATATAAACTTAGGTTATATTAAATTAAAATCATCCTAAATTAAAACTTAGCAACTAAAATATTAAAAACTTAAACAATATTAACTTAAACTTGTTATAAATAAAAAATTAGTCAATCTTAACCTAAATTAAAACTTAGGAACTAAAATATTAGAAACTTGGACTATATTAAATTACACTTATCTTAAATTAAAACTTAACAACTAAAATATTAAAAATTTAGACTATATTATTAAAACTAAGCCTAAATTAATTTGCTCCTATAGTACCTTTTTTCTTTGATTGGTATTCTTGTTTTTTTAGTCATAGCTGTGAGACTAGCTCTCAAATAGGTACTGATTACACAAAGCCATTTCTAAGTAAGATTCTCACTCCCTGACATTTTAGGCCAAGTTTGTCTAAGATCATATATTCTGCTTTCACGGCAACTAAACCATATATAGTTGGGTATACACTCTAGCACTAGCACCTATAAGTTGTGCATGTGTAAGAAAACAAATAAATAACTAAGCAAAGAGTGTGTACGTAATACCTTTATTCTCAAGTAACTTCTCTTATTATGGGAATTTTCCCAAAGAATTGCAGATGCAACAACTGAATTAGGGTCAGGTGTTCGAAGTTGTGATTTGAGAAATGTTGCTCCATTTGACTCTTTAAACATAAACTGCACCCAATAGCTAGGAGTTCCATAAGCCTGATCGGAATTAAAGACAATTGCATCTGGGTTCCACCTGCATGTAATGACAAAATTAGATGCGTCTCAATGTGGCCATCATGCACCACTTGTTTTACTTAATTATAATCCTCTTATTTTTATAAATATAGCATTTGTGTATTTCCCACCTTCATAATATATCATTTTCAATATCTTCAAGAAAAGAACATGATCACTGCATTTATGGGAAAAGAGTGATAGATGATACAAATTTTATGGTAAAAGGACGTACTTCCTGTCATTTGCATTTACAAAAAGTGGCGCATAGCTAGCCATTATCACATGATCACTGCATCAAAATGGAAAATTGGAATGGTGAGTTGTCAAAATGTTTTAAAACAAATGATCTCAACCCTATACTATTTGACTGATTCTGATGATTTTTCAATATAATAAATTAAATTAATATTATAAATAAGTCTGAAGAGAAATTTCAGGTACCAAAAATCTTACTATCCAGACTTATTTACCCTTAGCTTATTTGTAATATTATTTTTGACCAAAACTTGCTCGATTATAAAGGATTCATTTTCAAACACTACAAAGGAATCAATTAATATAAATTAATTGGCCATCAACCTGTTTCTTTCTAATCCAATAAGGAATCCAGCTTCGGACACAGCTCCCAAAAGGGTTCCAAGCTTAGCTTCTTTGTCTCCAATTAGAGCATACTCACTCACAAAAGCCTGTATTGTATTCAAATCACTAATGCAATGCATAATATAAACAACACACTATATAGAAGAGAAATAAGTGATGATTACAAGACCTTTGGACCATCTCGTGGTGTCTTATCAAACGCATGGGCGTTATTAAACATATGTTGATATTCATGAAGATAAGTCTGGAAAAAAAGTTGGAGTATATAAGAAAGGACACTACGAAAACAAAAATATATGCATTATATTTCAATTTTTATATGAAATGACGAATTCAATTGTAAGAGACAGGATATTACGTGATAATCATAGAGATCTGCTGGGTGATCTAAAGGTTTGGCAGAAGCATCACAATTTGAAATAATTTGAATATCTGGATAAGCATGCTTTATTGCCTTGTAGAAAGCTAGGTAGTTTCCTAAATGTTTTAAAAAAAATTAGACAAACCCTTTTAACATTTACTTTTCAGTCATGAAAATGTTCAGAGAAAAGAAATGCACGGATAATATATTTACATTGTCATATAGAGAAATCTAATTACAAACTAACTCATAATGATAATAAGTTAAGTAAATCACACTCCTATAATTTTACAAGATTGCACAAAAGTTTGATTTTTTAATTGTTACAATAACATTTTTTATCGGAGATATAATATAATGGTTCTCAAACAATTAAGAAAAGTTAAGGTAATGTCAGTCTAATATTTTTTAAACAAAGAATGATGTTAGCATAGAGATCGAAAAAATAAGAAATGTACATGCAATTTTACAAAATTTTAGGAGTAATGTAATTTACTTTAATAAATTTGTTCACTTGTACACGGACTATTTTAAAAATCATGCTATGCTAATCATAAATTTCTGATTAACTGACCCGGTAAATTTTTTTATACTAACTATGCATATAAAGTAAGCATAGATGATAACAAGGAGAATAAAAAAGGATAATTAATATACAACTTAAATTCACAGGTACATACTTAAAAAAAAAAAGGACAAACAAAAAACTAAGAGAAAGAGAGATCATGCCTAGGTAGTTTTTCTTCCCACAATCTTCATTTCCTACAGCGACATATTTTAGGTCAAAAGGCTTTGGGTGCCCCATAGATGCTCTAAGGGAACCCCATGTTGAAGTAGCTGTACCTCTGGCAAACTCGATACCATCAAGGGCATCCTACAATTAAGGTAAACAAACATGACATTGTGATGAAAATATTTTATTCCATTGTTTCAGAAAGGAAAAAGCAACAAGAATTAGAAAATGTGGCATAGGGAAGAAAAAAAGAAGAAGAAAATATACTTGCACAAAAGGTGTGATGACACTGGTATCAACTTCATCGGTATGGCTTATGCCTGCATTATTGAATTAAACACCCACAAAAGGACATATTCAGCAACGGTCCTTATGCCGTTCTGAAAAATCATAGGATATAGCAATAAATAGGAAAATACCATTGTTAAATACCCACAATGGCTTTGCACCAATGTCCTCTGCTAGCTACACAGGAAAAAAATGACTTATCATGATTGGATTTCATTATTTCATGATAACAACAAAATGTGATTTTTAATGGTTAGTCTATAACACAATAAATGGACTTACTTGAAGACCCTCAAAATAACCAAGTCCATCATCTGTCCAATAACTCCAAACATCACCAAAGTGCCCAGGTCTCTGTTCCCAAGGTCCAACACTATCTTTCCACCGAAATGCATTTCTTAATGTTTGTCCTTCAATAAAACAGCCACCTCTTGCAAGACAAAAAATTTCATTAAATTTGGAAGTTATTTGAATGTTTAATAATTAGAGGAAGAAATTGGAAAGGAGATAAAACATGTAAAACAAAATGATGATATATGATGTCATTGAGAATCCTTACAACATATATTCAATATCCCAAGTAATGAAAAGATAGAATAATGCTACATCCAAATTGAAATCTACCCTAAATTTGTCAACACTTGAAAAATAATGCCACTTCATTTTCACATAATTTTGGCAAATAGAATTCAAATTATCTATGGTTTTTCAGAAATATAATACTTTTTTTGACACGAATCTCTTCCTTCACTTCAGTTTATGCATACCTGGAAATCTGAAAAAGGCTGGTTTCAATACTAATAGCATATTAACCAAGTCACTTCGGAAACCATGTCCCTGTGCCAAGACAAGTTTGAAGATTTACTAATTAGACAAAATACAATAAAATTGAGTATTGCCAGCAATGAGAGTTTAACATTCAAGCCAAAGAAGTTAATAAAGTAGCAAGAAAAGTTTCATGTTGTAACAATAAAAGCCATGAAGGAACACATACCTTAAATGTGTCCAAAGGCATAGCAGACACTTGGTCCAACCATATCACCCCTTTTTTGGTTGTTGTTAAATACAAACTTGACTTGGAACTTGATGCATCAGCTACTAATGTAGTCTCCATCCTTTTCCACTTTGAAACTTCTGATGCAGAAGCTCTGCAAAATAAATATACCACTATAAAATGCTCATACATTAAAGATACTTTTATAAGCCTTTTAATCTGAGCATAAAGTCTCTCTAGAATGTTGAAACATAGTGCTCACTTGATATTGCTAGAAGCCAATATCCCTCCACCTTCAGTTTTTCTGAATGATACTTTCATATCTATTGGTGCTTTTGATCTAACAAAGAAGACAACTTTGTATTTCTTCCCTTGCACAATATTCTGAAACAAGATTTCATGGTTAAAACTTATAAGGTGCAAATATTTTTCATAAAAAAATGTTTGTTTCTTGGAAACAAGTGCACTACTAACTCTCATACAGAGAAGGAACGGAACAAATAAATAGGAGTGCTTATGAGACATTATCTATTATTCTCACCATGCCCCAAAAACCAGGATTAGAGATACCAACACCATCATGGCAATTATCGCACAACACATCCATTTTCAATGCAACCTTGTTGTGTTCAAAGCAAGAACTACGTTGAGTTTCTATAAAAATTTCTGATTCTTGTCCAACAATAGTCCATGGTTCAATATTTGATGGAACTCGAGTGCCCCCGGCTTCAAAACCTGAATCACAAATTAATATATGAATGGAAAACATTCTATAGCCATAACAACGTAAAGAAAATACCTTGTACTTAAATATTATCTCCTATATGGGATAGAATGTGTAATAGTAATTTTGTGCAATTAATTGAACTTATAAGATGTTCAAAAGAGTTATCTAATCAAGTGTTACATGTTTTGTTGATTTAGAAGAAAAATATCGAAAGGACGTCTGGGATATTACAGAAGTTCAAAAGCATTGTGTTAGACAAATATTTTGTTTGCATTTAATAGCATTTAGAAGTTTTAGAGAAATCATATAAAAGAAATTTTGGAGAATACGGAAATTAGTGACCTCTGTTGTTCACAAGCTCTGCCCACAATCCACCAGCACCAGCATGATTGATCTCCTGCAAAATAAGATCAAAAATTATAATCACTTTCAAATATTCCAATTAAAAAAGACATCTAGTTCAATACTTCAATATTACCGTACACGGTCAAAGGAAACTATTTTAAAATTCTAAGTAACTCTTGAGTTTTTGTTTTTTCTTAACTATATTATTGGTATGAAACATTCACCAATTTCGTCATCAATGACTAATTTCTGTCAAGAATTTTAACTGATCATTTTTAGTGGTGTCTCTTCTTTTAAAAATATTTTTTTTATTTATATAAGATTTGAACTCAAGATCTTCGTAAAGGAATTAAATTTAGTAGTATTCACTCTAACGACTTATTGATGATACTAAGAATCTTATTATATTGAGGGTTTAAAGATGTTAAAAAGTAGTTATGAAATTCCTAGATAGCATTATACCTCAAAAAATATTCCAAAAAGAGTTTCAGGAATTGGCCTTCCAGATGAACCAGAAGCATCTACAACCAGAGTTGAAGTATGGTTAGCATAAGCACAACGTTGAAAAACAAGACATGCCACTAGGATGAGGTAGAGTCGAAGAAAACTGCAACAAGTATTTTTGAAAATCATTGCTTCTTTATTTACACATGTTACAGTGTGATACAACGCAAGTATATATAAGCCAACACTTCCATTGTCTTAGTTTCTTTGTTTTTGGCTTGTGTTTCGTTAGAAAAACTAGGAACATTCCCAATAGGTAACTCTGGTCACACCCTGGAGATCCGAGTCTCAAGAATATTTTAGTGAGATGGAGTTATCGTAGCTAAAGTTACGCATTTATTGTTGCACATTGACTCAAACATTGGGCTTTATACCTCTCTCATTTGTGTATTTTTTTTCTCAATACTGACTAATCTCGGAGGCGTCTAATTATTTATATACATTCATATATAGAGGCACATATAATCAATTTTTTTTAACTATTTTAAAAAGGATTATTTTTTTGGTCTTACTATGAGTATATTCTAGCTTACTTAGTCATATACCAATCCACTCAGAAATTATTTCAAAAAGGATAGAATAATATTGTATTATACACGAATAAAGTATATTCCCATCAAACAAATATATATATAACATAATCCTAAAGTAGTGATTGGGTTCATTAAGAACCAATAACCCATAGTAATAACAACAACCCTACAAATGTTGCTTATTAGATTTGGTGACAACCAATAACTTATATAAACAAGTAACAATTATTGAGGTTATTTTATGATATGTGTTTGAAGAAATATTTTATAAGAGTTATTCTTATAAGATTATTTCACACACAATTCCACAATGATAAGATATTGTCTGTTTTGGGGCCTAAGCCCTCACGATTTTACTTTTTGATCATCACCCAAAAGGTTTTTAAATCATTGAAGTATGTTTGTACTTTATAAATTGTTATTCCTTCTCTTATTTTTTTTTATCCCAACAACAATAACAAAAAAGTAATATAAAGACAGATTTTACTGAATTAGATATTAAGTCTTTTATTTGAGAAGATATTTGTTGAAATACAAATAAGGTCCTACATTATTAGAACAAGAGCAGAAATAAAAATTTATAAAACACAATACTTTATTGGTTAAATATCTTTTGAATAATGACCAAAAATAAAATTATAAGGGTGTAAATTCAAAATAAATAATATCTTATCAATGTAAAGTGTCTGTACAAATATCATATCTTGGTAAAACAACATAATCCTCATGGTTATTTAAGATTGGGATAATGCTGTAGTTTAATACAGTGACCGAATTGTTTTTTTATAAACACTGAAAAATACAAAGTTGTAGATACTAATAAGTTCTCTAGCCAATATACTGTACCATATGTTTGATAAATAGTACTTAAACTAATTTGTCACAACATTGATTTCATTATTTTTATGATTTATATGTGGTTCATCGTTGCCAATTAAGCATCAATGACGTTGACACCAAGGTTCTACTCTCACTCGCTATCTGAATCTATTTTCACACACCCACAAGTTTGGGCTTCCAAATTTGAACAACAGTACGAGGAAAAATAACAATAATATAAGTCTAATATTCCTCATAACATTCACAAGTTCAGCTCTTCCATGCAGGGGGGTTGGTTACTTGGTTTGATCATTGTAGGCAGCACAATTTGGGAGAGAAGAGAAAGGCTACATTTGCTATCCATCCATGATGTATTACATTTCTTGATCATGTTAAAAAAAGGAACAATGTCCTTTATATTTGTCCTCATTTTTATTTTAGTGACATCATTCCTATGCTGTAACTAGATTCTAATCAAATTAACAAATCCAATGATGTCACTGAATAGGGAGAGAGAATCACATTCAAGTCCTTATCTGCATTGACTAGTGAACTTGTTTGTGGCACCACCTGCATTTAAAATGAAAAGAACATAGTTGATAAATGATATTAGTTTACATGTTAGGCCAACTATACGTGCATATATAGCACATGTACAAATAGACCAAATTTTACCTTCTTTGGCTCTAAGAAGGAATTCTCATCCATTACATTGTTTGATGCAAACACTGTCTTTGTAGAACCATATTGTTGCACATTTAAGTTCAACCCGTTTATAAAAATGGTAAGGCTTTCAGATGTTGTTTCAAAGTTTACTACCTGCAAAAATCAATAACTCCTTGTGAATATTAGAAATGCTTATCAAAAATCAAACATACACATACACATCCAAAGGTTGAATTAAAATCTTAATGTATAAATTAAGTTTATAAATTTTTAAAAAATTTAAAAATTATTTGATACTTTATTATATAAAAAATTTGAAAACATACATACATATATATATATATACACACGTATGCTCTTATATATTTCTTTTACTATAGTTGAATAGGACTGATCTTATACCTTTATTCTTAGGTAGTTTTTCTTATCCATGGAATTTTGCCAAATAATTGCAGATGCAATAAGTTTATTAGATTTTGTATTGAGTGTTGAGTCAAGAAATGTTGCTCCACTGGACTCACTAAAAAGTTTCTGCACCCAATAGCTAGGAGTTCCATAAACCTGATATGAGTTGAACACAATTGCATCGGGAATCCATCTACAATGACACATTTACACAAGATTGTGTATCATGGGAATCATGTTGAAATCTACAAATAATTTACTACAATAAATTTTCAAAGTGATAGCTTATTCTATGTTACAAGAATATGATAAAAGGGTAGAAGTTTTCACAGCAAAGGTATAAGAAAATTACCTCCTGTCATTTATATTTAAGAAAAGTGGTGCATAAGAAACCATCTCAACAATATCACTGCATCAGAAAATAAAGTATTATGTAATAAATTAAAAACTTAATACGGTTAAGACTTAAAAAGCTTCATAAAACACTAAAAAACTATAGCAAACCTGTTCTTTTCTAATCCAATAAGAAATGCAGCTTCAGCTACTGCCGCCAAAAGACTTCCATTTCCAGCATCTCTTTTCGTCACAGCATATTCACTAACAAAAGCCTGTAGAATAAAATTGAGCATTCATATATCAAATGACAGATAAATGAATAGCGATAAATGATGAATTGGAAGAGAATTCATTAAGATTTAAAACTTGAAATTAACCAAACCTTTGGACCAGTTCGTGGTGTGTGGTCGAAATGAGAAGACTTAGAAAATATGTCATTGGAGTCTGTGTAAATCTAATAAAAATAAAACATTACATGAAAACAATACAAAATAAGCACGTTTTCCATAGTTGAAAAACTAAAATATTGAAAAGTATAACAAGTTGACAAATGAAAAAAAGGAAAAATTAACAAACTTGCTAAAGTTAAATCGACAAATGTGAGAACGTTATCATTACATGAAAATCGAACAAATCAGATGGATGATTTAATGGTGAGGTAGAAGCATCACAGTTTGAAATAATTTGAATATCTGGGTAGGCAGATCTTATAGCTTCATAGAAATAAAGGTAATTTCCTAAAATGAAAAAAAAATGTTAATAACTGAACAAGATCAATCTTTAGATTCTGACAAATATCGAAAGTCACATAAAACATATATATGAAGGATGCTCATATATGTGCTCCAATAATAAAAATGATAAAATTATTGCATACCTTCATAATCAGGTTGACCACAATTTTCATTTCCAACGGCAACATATCTCAAGTCAAATGGTTTAGGATGTCCCAATGCAGCTCTAGCAGAACCCCATGGCGATGTAGGAGAGCCTCTTGCAAATTGTATGCCATCGAGGGCATCCTTTTAACGCATAGATTTTAGAATAATATTAAATATAAAGATATAAATTCATAAATAACTAAGAAAAGTGCAAGGGAAGAAAGTTGTACTTGCACATAAGGTGCTATGGCTGATTTATTGACTCCATCATTAAGGCTGATTCCTAAATGAGACATTCAATTTAGACAACAAAGATAATGTCAAATACATGTGATAATAATTCAATGAGTTGACGTTGTGAGAATACTCTATTTATCAGGGATCCTGTATTTGATCTCACAAAAATCCTTCAGACCAGTAACAATCACAGTATACGAGTAGAGTTAGTCTCTGTCTTTTAGACTGAGAATACCCATGGCAGAAAAAAAAAAAAAAAAATACTTGCGGTTGTTGAAAAAATAATTTCAACTAGGGCTAGAAGAAAATACCAGCATTAAACACCCATATAGGCATTGCTCCAAGGTCTTCTGCTAGCTGGTAAAGAAAAATTAAATCATTATATTTCAATTAAATATGATACATGCAATTGTAGTTGTAAAAGGACACCCACTTGAAGATACTCTAAAAAACCAAATCCATCGTCACTCCAATAGCCCCACATATCATGGTGTCCAGGTCTCTCTTCCCATGGTCCAATAGTATCTTTCCATTGAAATTGGTCTTTGAGATAAGCTCCTTCAACATAACAACCACCTAATGCAATGATTTTTTTATAGAGTTAGACCTAAGGATTTTTTTTTATAATAAAGTTCAGAAAGAAGAAATGTTATTCCATCCTAAGGGTTAAAATGGAATTAGAACTTCCAAGAAAAATTAACCCTTACACATAGGATCAAAAGTGAATCCTCTGTTGCTACATACATAGAACCTTACTACCTAATTACACGTGAACAGCGGCACAACCAAACACTAAAAACAGTGTTGCAAACCTCAATTTGAAGACTTAGAATTTTGACATACCTGGAAATCTGAGAAATTTTGGTTTCAAATCTGCCACCATTTGGAAAAGGTCCTTTCGGAAGCCATGGCCCTGTTTCAAAAGAAGAATGAAGTGATGTAAAGGAAAAGAACAAAACAGAATAGAATGCCTTGCCAGCAAGTGGTCATTGAGGTACCAAGTGTAGATTGTAGACCTATTGTTATCATTATTGATCCAAAGAGTTTTGTTAAATTTAATAGCTACATTTGTTGAATTATAAGGTGTGATTGTTATTCTACTAACCTTGTAAGTGTCCAATGGCATAACTGACACCTGGTCTAACAAGTAACTCCCTTTCCTTGTTGTGGTTATTTGAAGGCTTGAAATGTGATTAGTAGCTTTTGCTTCCACTATAGTCTCCACCCTCTTCCATTTTCCATGTCCATGAACATGCCTGCCAAGAACCACCGATTAGTTCTTTTAATCAATGCAACAAACAAATTATAGGTCATTGGATATAGGTTGTAGAATGTCCACAATTCCTTTTAATTCTAAATAAAAAGAAACTTACGTAATATGTGATGCCACTTTTTTAACATCAACACCCGTGAATGAAAGTTGAAAATCAAACTTTCCTTCTGATTTAACGTGGTACACCACCTTATACCACTTCCCTTGCTCAATATTCTGAACATGAAAAGAAAAAAGTTTTAGAAAGATAGAAGTTACTTCATACAATAAAATATAAACTAATAATAGATTTGCCATTTCTTAAGAAAAATGTAAGTGTGGCATTATATGAGTCTTTTTTATTTTCAGATTTATTTGTTACATTTAAACTTACTTAATACACACACAGCAAAAATTATGAAAATATTTATATGCATTAATTTTCTTACCATGCCCCAATAACCAGGGTTAGAGATACCAACGCCACCAAATGGGCAAGGTTTGTGACCACCACAATAAACCTCCATAATTAATGCAGCTTTATTACGGTCAAAGCAAGAGGAACGGCTAATTGATACAGAAATTGATGCTTCATTACCAATAATTGTCCAAGGATAAAATATATTGTTTTCGGCTCCAGCTTCAAAGCCTAAAATTAAATTGATAGTAATAGAAAAATAAACAATCACTTCAAAAATATTGAGATCTAATTGAATTTGTGGACAGGAAAGACAAAGATGAAGAAAGGTTTTAGAGATATGGAAATAACCTCTATTGCTAACAAGTTCTGCCCACAGTCCCCCAGCACCAGCATGATTAATCTCCTGAAAAATAAATTCAAAGAAATTGATGACATTTTCAACATTGAAATAAGATTGGGTTTTTCTTGTGATACTTTTTTTCTCTCCAATGAGATTGATCTATTGCACCACACACAGACAACTTTTACTACGATCATGCATGTTGGCAATGAAGTACAACGAGTAACCTTTACTACGATGCCTTGAAACCATACATTTATTAAATTATTTAAAACCCTGTTTTGCATTAAAGGTCTTGTTATAACACAAGACATTCAAATAAATTTTCAGTCAAACTTTGGTCATTACTAGATCAAATTTATTAAATTATCATGTTTTATGTTTGGAAAATAGGTTGAGCTCATTAAAGTACACTATGAAGAAATAAAATAAACAGCACCCATTTTAATAGTAAAGCATGATTGGCTAACGAGGGGGAAGGAAGCTTACCTCAACGAATACTCCATGAAAAGTGTTAGGAATTTTCCTTGCATTATTGGAAGCATTTACAACCAGTGTTGAGTTTGCATCAGCACAGCAATGTTGCAAGGCAAGAAAATGGATCACAATGGAATAAAGCATGATCCCAAACAGAGTCTTGTGAGAACAGAACGCCATTATTAACAAGATGATGATATTCTTATCTAACAAATCATATATATAGGGAAGAACAATTGCTCACTAATGTGCCACCTCCTAACTACTAAAAGGAAAATGTATAAAATGTAAGAGAAAATACTATTTTTATCAATCCTTGTAATAATGTTCTAATAATGCTGACTTGGGTAGCAGAGTCTTTCTGATCACACCAAAACTTGACTTGCAAAGGAAAGGACAACTAAAAATAGCAAATTTTAGCATGAATATTCCTTGCCTTCGGTTGGTTCTACTGCTGAACAAGTTTAAAAGAAAAAACTTTAAATATTTATGTATTTCATTTATTCCTTATCATTATACAATTATTAACACTGTCATATATGAGCTGGAACCTTGAAATGAAAATTTAAAAAACATAAATTAAAAAATGAGTATAGATAAAATATTTTGTTAAAAATTATATTATTAATGTGAAGTATTTGTTGATATCTAATCTTTACAACGAAATTTATGATTACCTTCATTGAATTTTTTTCTTTTCAATCACATTTTCTTCATTAATAATATTCAAATTTAAGGCTTGTTTAAAGAGAGATTTACTAGGACTAACGATTTGTTAGTAAATATAAATCGAATATAACCAATATTTTGTGTGTTGCAATGCTGATTTAAAATTTAAATGAATATAAAAATAAAAAAGATAAAAATATTAAAGACATAAATGTTTAAAACTATAAAGAGGATATTCATAATTAATTCAATTAGAATTATAAATATATTAAATTATAAAAGAACATAAAATTACAAATAGTGTTTTAATAAATCCTTAAAATAAATCTTCCTCGTGATGTTCTTAATTATTTAAAAATACATATGTCTTCATTTGATACTCATCACTTACCCACTTTATATTTTGTTTTTATATGGCTGGATTAAATTAAAATTGATTAAGATACAAAGGGGTTGTCACCGACAATGGCATCTTTCTCAAATCCCCACAGTTTGCAATTCAACAACACATAGCTTAACATCGCTAGCTTTTTCATTAGATGAAATGTATTGGGTTGAGGATTCTCCTCACCAAAATTGATTCGATTCTCACCAATGATGTAGATTTTTGGACATATACCACTTGTTGAGTACGGAAGGGGTTACCACACACATATATATGTGTGAGATATTGTTCGCTTTGGGTCCAAGCCCTCACGAATTTGTTTTTGAACATCACCTAAAAGGTCTCTCAACCAATAGAGATAATTGTGTATATATAAACCCATGTCCATCCTCTTATTTGAAAAACGTAAAACTTTGCCTGTATCCCAACACAAAACTCAAGTTTAAATTCTATGTCTATTTCTTTTCTAATAAACATTAAGTGTGTATTGTATCTTTGAGAAATTTCAACTGTTCGTTGGACTCAATTAAAGACACAAGATTCATGAATTAGAGTGAACAGGTTGTTAACTGCAAAAACAAATGGACACTAAATAGTTAGTCTATTTAATTGTCTTTTAAGAAAGAAATAGTCACAAAATTTTATTTAGTTTATCTTGATCACCTTTTCATATTTTCTGCTCTCTAGCTCTGTCCTTTTACTTTTATTTTGAGGTGAGTTTTCATTTTTTGTTACTTGCTGAGTGAGTTCTTTTCTATATAATTTCAAAATTGTATAAAGTAAATACAGGTCTTCGAAATCGTGTTAGATAAAGTTGGATATGATAAAAATAAAAAATAAAAATTGGCTGAATAGTTTTTCCCCCTCAAAATCTGTTTCGAATAAATTTGAAAGTAAAATCTAACTTTCATATTGACTATTGTTGATATCAAAATAATGTATATAAATAAGGATATTCATCTTATAAATTAGTTTTTAAAATAAAGTTAAATTTAACTCTACATTTTAAGATAACATTAAAGTCTGTCCTAAATTCATTAACATGTACTTATTGAAAAAAAAAAACTAATTAATTGAGAAAATTTTAAATTATCTACATTCATAGAAGTTAGAATTCAGTTTTTAATCACTTGATTAAGTGACGTAAATCTCTTGTTAATTGTGCTAACTTAAGTTGGTTCATTAGATGCATCTAAACACTTGAAATTAAAACTTCAAAAAAATCATACTAAATTAACTGTTGTATAAAACCTATGATTCAGATTGTCGCGTAGCTTAAATATGGTGAACAAAGTGTTTTCATACGAACACAGGAAATATAAAGTTGCATGTACTGACAAATGCTTTGAGCAATAAACAGTATCCCAAGCTTGATAAATGGTTGTGACTAAACTTTAAAATGGTTAACAGTTCCCAATTTATCATTAATGACATTAAAGCTATATAAGGTTGAAGGTTCTACTCTCACTCGCTATCTGCTGTATCTATTTTTTCTACACTCCGACAAGTCCAGGCTTAGGAAAATAACAACAATGTCTTATCCCACATAATTAAGTTTCACAAGTTAAACTCTTCTATGCATGTGGGTTGGTCTGGTTAATGTAGGAAGCACAATTTGGGAGAAGAATAAGGGCTATATTTGCTACCAGTGCCCACCACATCCATATATTATTTCAGCAATGAATTAATCGCAATGCACAATTGAGCTAAAGGTTTATGGATGTGAGAAATGAGAATTGACATGTACCAAATAAAATGTCACATTTAAAGGAACTATGTTTTCATGTTTTGTGCTAAAGGTACTCTTTCCTATGCCTAATTGTCTGTTCTTTAATACCTCTTGGGATAAAGTGTTTGGAATTTTGTGGAACCCTTTTGCCACAAAATAATTCAAGTTAAGAGAAGCAGGGAAAGGGGTCCCATCTTCTATACCTTCACAAGAGAGGTGAAATGAAAGAGAAAGTACACGATTGAGATTTTCTTAGTGCTCAGCAAGTGGAGCTAATGTTTTCTTCTACAATTTTTTTGTTTTTTTTCTTCCAATTTTCATGTGTTCATCACATTCATGCAATTGATAACATTCATTTTGGGTATGCCTTTTTTTAATGAGTGATTGTTTAGTTTTTTTATTATTATTATTTTAAGAAAGTGTATAGAAATTACCAAAAGTTGTTAGATATATATACTTGTACTCATTAATCAAATACCAGAGCTTAATATATGTAATAAACATGAAGATATAAGACTGGAAATATACTTTATCTTTATAGAATTATCCAGTAACAAGTAATTAAACTTCCCTATCACACAAAAAAAAAATGTTTACATTTTCATATTAAAACAACAAAAAATTACTGTATAAATATTTTTTTAATCTCTCAAAATTGAAGTTAGTATCAAGAATTTGTAATAATTCATGCACTCTACTCAACTAATTAAGTTAGATTATCAGAAAAACTATATGACTATATGAATTCATCATAAATTAATTAAAATTTAATTTAATAGTGTTTTAAATTTAATTATTGTAAAAGATTGTATCGATCAATATTTATTTAACCTTTGTTTAAAAATCAATATTAAAGAAAAAAAAATAAGCAGGCGTAAATGGAACGAAAAACAAAAGTAATTTTAGAAGTCATATAACAATAACAAGTAAAAAACAAAGCCTTAATAAGTCATATTATTAACTTCATGTTATTGTATGTTTATTATTTATCAGTGGAAAGTACGTACCGATAGGCTTTTTGAATTATGCATGCTTACCTAATCCACAATTGACGATATTGCTAGAGAGGGAGGGTTAAAACAATAAACCCCTGGTTTAACACTTTATTATTGAAAAAAAAAAGGAGCTTGAATCTCACTATTTATATTTATTTAATGAAGTTTTAGGTATTAAAAATTATTTTTTTAAAAAAAGTTTAGAAAACTTTTCCAGTTAAACTTTTGTTTAAGATTAAAAAACTTTAACAGAAAAAAAAAAAGTTAAGGAACGGTCAAAATTTTATTTAGAAACTAAAAACTGGATTTTAAAAAAAATTAGCCACAAAAACATAATTAACTTTTAATTTGTTCTCTAAAATCAAGTGACAAATGAATTTATTTATCCATTATTATAATAAAAATAAATAATAGATCAGATCCAATCTATTTATTTAATTTTATAGATGGTAAGTAGTTGTTGTGGGTTATTTTATGGTATTTTTCTGAGGGGATATTTTATAATTGTTATTATTATATAAAGTAAATACACAAGCATACTCTACAATGATTAGATATTGTCTACTTTGGGCCTTAGTCCTCACGGTTTTGCTCTTGGTTATCACCCAAAAAGCCTCTCTATCATTGAATTATTTTTGTGCTATATAAGTTGTTATTTCTTGTGTTATTTTATCGATATGAGACTTGTTTGTATCCCAACAATCCTCCCCTCAAACAAGGGACCTAACATTTCATGCAACGGAATCTGTCTTTATATATCACATTATATGTTATGAGTTATGAATGTTATAAGGGTTGTTACCTCATCCAACCTTGCGGCTCTGATACCACTGTTGGGGTTATTTTATGGTATTTGTCTGAGGAGATATTTTATAAGTGTTATTAGGGATGACAAAATTACCCGTTTATAAATGAGGCGGGGGCGGGTATGATGATATCCATAACCGCGGGTACCCGTTTAATATTATTTCTTAAATATCTTAATTATCCTTGTACCACATAACCCTAAAACTACACTCTCTCATCTTATTTTCTTACAAAAGTGGGGTTGATGAAGTTATCGACATGTGTTAAGCATGTTATAAAATTATGTTGGATGTAATTTGACTAATTTTCTAGCTTTGATTGAATTATGAGATTGAATTATTGTAGCTTTGTGATGAGACTTTAACTTACTTGTGAGATTGATGTATTTTAAGTTATTGATTATCTTGAATTATTATTATTATTTCAACAAAATTAACGTTAAATAAAAGTTCAAAATTAATATTGAATTTTTATTTTTAATATTTCAATGACATTAAAATATAAACTTAAAATTATTTGTAATATAATTTTTTTAATTTCTTAAAAATTTTATAAATATCCATGGATATCTGTGGATATCCGTGGGTATTCAAGAAATTCATGTATACCCGCTTAATGGATACCCGCGCGGATATGGGGTGAGTATGGGACCAATTTTCATTCAGCGGGGCGGAGGCGGGTTTACTAT